TTTTCCTTTGATTTTCAAAATGATTTGTCATCATGGTATAAACATTCAAAGCAATTTTTAAAAATCTGGACATTAAAATAAATTCTGACCATTGCATTTACAACAAATTCCTTTAGATTTCATGAACGGTGTCTCTTCTGATTGTTCATTCATCATTTTTTAGAGATTGAAGCTCCTCCTTTATGATACAAACTTTCCATTTACAGTAATCATAAGATGTTAACCTAGCAACAAAGTTAAGCTACGAAACTTTTAGCTCACTCAGTTCATTATTATATATGAAATACAAATATGTAAATATGTCTTACATATTTGTATTACATGTAGAAGGATATATGAGCCCTAATTACTGTTTGTTTTTTGTTTTTTTGAGATGGAGTTTCATTCTTGTTGCCTAGACTAGAGTGCAGTGGCACCATCTTGGCTCACTGCAATCTCCACCACTGGGTTCAAGCAATTCTCCTGCCTCAGCCTCCTGATTAGCTGGGATTACAGGCATGTGCCACCATGCCCAGCTAATTTTGTATTTTTAGTAGAGATGGGGTTTCTCCATGTTGGTCAGGCTGGTATTGAACTCCTGACCTCAGGTGATCTGCCCGCCTTGGCCTCTCAAAGTGCTGGGATCACAGGCATAAGCCACTGCACCCAGCCGCACTAACTTCTACGTAACACAATTCAGACTGTTCATTACACCTTTCCATTTAATGCAATATTCCTTATCTGCTTGTCCAAATAGCAAAGATATTATAGCCTGCTTCCTTCTCATTGACTTTCAAGAGTTTTAACCTTGAATGGTGTAATGATGATGGGCAAATACTGTTTCATCAAGCAGAGGAAAATGTATAGTATGGTACAAAGAAATCCAAGCAGGATTTGGCATGGAGTGGAAAAAGGACAAGTGGTTTCACTTTCTTTCTGGGAAAAAAAAAAGGGAAAGGACAAGGGAGAACACACTATAATTCATAACTTGGTAGTTTTTATCCTGCTTTCAGGTCAGTGGAGTTTGCCCCATGAAAAAGGAATTGTGGATCTGAAGCCTAAATAACTTCAGCAATCCACATGTAAGTGAACAGCAACAATCATTTTTTTCAGTTTTATTTTGCTCTCTCAGTGTTCATATCTACAAAAGCCTCTAACCAGTAGTCAAGATAAGTGTTGAACTGAGAAGTATTGATCCAGTAATAGCAGTTCAAGCTTTGACTGTGAGTCCTTAACCCTCCAGACATAATGTCATAGCCTCTTATCCTTGCCTCTTAACATTACCTGCCTATCTCTGCAGAGCTGTCACCTATGGTAATACAGTTCCAAATGCTTTCTAATCATTACTCATTCAGGCAGCATTCATTCTGTAGCCAGCAAAAAAAAAAAAGAAAAAAGTTTAGGTGCCGCTTTGACTTCTAGACAGAGTAAGGTGTTTTCTTCTGCGGTTCCCTTCAGGCCTTTAACATACCGTGTGTATTAAAATGTGCCACCCTAAAAAGAAGCCATTAAAATAATGTCCAGAAGAGGCATTAAGAGACTTAAGCCATCAGGAACACATGGCAATCCACTCTGAACAATGTAAAGAGACCACTGGGGTTAGGCAAGCCTTCATTCTCAGCAGCAATCCCTCGCTGGAGCAAAGAGCTCTGAGTAAACAGCCTTGTGCATGTAAAACCTATCAGTGAGGCAGAACCAGGTGATGGGAGGTGATTCACATCACCAAGCCAAGGACAGAAATGGCACTTCGTGCACAAAGATATTGGGAGTACCAGTGGGTACCTAAATATGAGTAGTGTGTAATGAAATAGTCCCATCGTAATAAGAAATCTACATGTTATCAGTTTCTGTCATTGATTGGTTGGGCTTTCAATATCAAAACTATCCTATTTTTATGCATACATGAAAAATATTTCATTCCTAGACACTGCATGTTCTACCATAAGCCAGAGCATTGTAAATGACACTGTGGAGGATGACAAAAACTCAGTAACCTAAGCATTGCCACTAACAGAAACCTCTGTTGGTCAGGGTCTCATCAGTCTTGATACTTCTCTATTCTCGGGGTCTAGGACAGTACCTGGGATACTGCAGACATTTAATTAATATTTTAAATTAAATAAGTAGATAAGTGAATGAAAGAAGTAATAAATGAAACAGCAGAGACTAGATACAATTATAGTATAAATATTACATGCCACAATGTATAATATATTTAAATATATTATGTATACTACATATATAATACATATAGTATACATGGAAGTACTATATGTATTTAATAGAGTATGCATATAGATGTATAAACACAAGTAGACACATAATGAAAAAACAACTTCATCTGGAGTATCCCAAGTTATACCTCAACAATGAGAAAGACATTTCAGTAAAGAGGAAATGAGGTTGCACAAAAAGAGAAACTTCCAGCATGTCAATGAATCACAGAATAGAAATTTGGAGAATATGAATTAGGTTATATGAGGCCAATAGTTGAAAGTGATTTATTTACACTCTTCATGGGGACTCTTCAAAAGATTTGTGTAGCAATGTAGGGGATACCAAATGCTTAGAGTAATGCTATTAAAGTACATACAGGTATGGCTTTAATATAAAGAAAACATAGGAATATGCAAAGAAAGTGATGGTTTACTAAAATGTCTGTACAATATTTATGCATAATATAGGCAGGCTCACTGTGCCAGGCTCTTAGGCTTCTCTTAGAAAAAAATAAACAAAGGTCAACCAAAATCCCAAGCCAAAAACACACACACAACAACAACAACAAAATCCTTTACAATGAAAATTTTAAAACCTGAATGCTTTAATCAAGGCTCATTGTAATGAGCCTTATATGGGTATTGTATAGGTGGCTCAAAGAAAATCATAAACTATTAAATCCTACTTGGTAAAGTGCATCCCTATTTTCAAGTGCTTCTCAATTATAAGATAGACAATAATGAACTTAGCTTCAGAAATATGTAACATTTCTGTATAGAAAAATAGTGATTTTGTGTAAATAATTCCTTAATGCATTTATTTTCAAATGTAACACTTCCAAATCTAATTGAAAAATTCCTCGAGAACATCAGATACATAGTACTACCACTACAGGCCTCCTGAAAACCATCTTAGTACCCTTACTAACCATATGTTCTCAGTCACCTAAACACTCAGCACCTTCTTATCCAACACAGATTTCACAGTTTTGCAAATTAAATGAGACAATGTATTTGAAAGCATCTAGCACAGTGTCCTGGAAAACAGCTGTTTTTTGAACATTGGCAAAGGGTTGGAGGAGAGAAGGAATTGCTTTTACAACTTTAAATGAATTTCAAAGATAAGTTTCTATTTAATAGTACAACTGTCTCTGTCGCAAATCAGCACATTAAGGTCCTTAATTTGAAGACTCTACTTAAATATGAATGAATTATTCAAGATGTCTCAAACTTTGAGATTTTCTTTACATGAGATTTAATGAGGTAGACTGGAAATTGTAGACTATGCACTTCCTGTGTCTCCCTGGGAGAAGGCTATACTTCCCTGTCTCATTGACAGGCAGTCCAGGGTATTTGCTTTGACCAATGAAAGGTGTGCATGAGTCACATGTGTCATTTCTTGTTGGAAGTTTAAAAAAAACAGCTTGGGTTTTAACATGGTCTCTTTTCTCTCTGCCTCAAGTTAAGCATTGTTCCAGAGAACAGTTTCTTGAGATTGGGTTGGGAAATAAATTATGGAAAAGTGCAAGAGTTAACCTTCAATAAGTACATAGCATAAACTGTTTTAAGCCACTGAGATTTTTGGAGTCGCCTGTTATTGCAGCCTATTTAATCCTATTCTGATTGATACAGACATTTATATCTAGGATCTTAAGCCACTGGAAATAAAAACTCTAGAGTTTAGAAATTCCATCATAGGGTCTATATAACTTCTTTAATATGAGTACTATTACAATTACAATACCTTCTCTAATGTAAGTACTATTGCAAATTACCATAAAAACCATTTGAACGCTTATTTGCATATTTGTTAAAGGTTGGTTTCGAACCTTTTACAATCTGGTCTCAAACTGTCTTTATAATCTTATCTCTCATGACATCTCCCCTTGAATCCAACACTTCAACCATTCAGAGCTGTTTGATTTTGTATTTTCTAAACATACTATGATGTTTCTTTACTTTTTATCTTGAAGTTTCTTCTACCTGGAATAGCCTCCTTCCTTTGTCTGCTGTTGAACATTTACCAGTCCTTTCTGATCATCAATATTCATTGCTCTATGATACTTTTCTGCAAATCTCTAGACAACTTCATTCCCTTCTATCTTTTCCCTAGCACACGGTGGGCATATTTATATTTATTAAAGCACTGACTTATTGAGTGGTAATTATTTGTTTTTCTGGCTCAGTATCCTCTTTTCACCTAAAAGCCGCAGTGCAATGAGGGGAGCACTATAATTAGTTTGTAACCTGAACAAAGTACTAGGTGATGATGGTTATATCCATCTATTCATTAAATAGTTGGGGGTTGATTTGTTAATAGCCTAATTTTTCAAAAACTTTAGCTGAGAGAACAGGTTAAAACTAGTTGGTTGCATAACTAGGAATAAAACTTTACTTCATTTTTGTAACTTAAAAAATAGCTTTAGTTTTAGGAGTTTCAGAAATCAACGGTTAAGTCGCATAGTAGGAGATCTCATAGCACCTTGTTTCACTTTATGCTTTATTTATTTATCTATCTATTTCTGTATAGAGATGGGGGTCTCACTGCACCAACTGGAGAGCAATGGCTATTCACAGGTGTGATCATAATGCCTACAGCCCTGAACTCCTGAGTTCAAGTGATCCTCCTGCCTCAGCTTCCAGAGTAGTTGCAACTATGGGCACATAATGTTGCACCCAGCAATTATGCTTTTCTTAGAAAAAAAAAAGTCAACCAAAATCCCAGGTAACAGAAACATTTACAATAAAAGTTTTAAAGCATAAATACTCACTCTTTCTTTCCATGCTGTTAGCGCTCACACAAACATGATGAACGTTCCTAAACCCGCCAGACTTTCTATTTTTGTAAGAAGTATGAAAAGCACCAACCCCACGAAGCAACACAGTACAAGAAGGACAAGGATTCTCTGTATGCCCAGGGAAGGTGGCATTATGACAGGAAGCAGAGTGGCTATGGTGGGCAAACTAAGCCGATTTTCCAGAAAAAGGCTAAAACTACAAAGAAGATTGTGCTAAGGCTTGAGTGCGTTGAGCCCAACTGCAGATCTAAGAGAATGTTGGCGATTAAAAGATGCAAGCATTTTGAACTGGGAGGAGATAAGAAGAGAAAGGGCCAAGTGATCCAGTTCTAAATGTCATCTTTTCTTTTAGGAAGACAATAAAATTTTGAGTTTATGTTAAAAAAACAAAAACAAAAAACATAAGTAATACAGGCTCTTTGTAATGATGATTCAACATATCCAAAGATTTACTATCTCCACATTAGCTTGGCATGCATAGCCCTACAATCCAGTTCAATGTATCCATCACTATTCGCTTTTGTGACCTAGCTTGTCACATTCCTTTACATGTGACAATCCCCTCTACTTTCCATATTCTTCTGTATGCTATCCTCTGCATGTTCTATATGTTCTCCCAACCCTAGTATTTATTCATAATTCTCCTGTAATACCTGTCCTTAGCTTATCTAGGGACTTCACCACTTCCAAAACTTAATTCACAGACTCCTGCCATCATGATGTTTTAGCAGTAGCCCAGAGCAGGCAGGCTTTGCCTTGCATCCTGCCATACTTATCATCTAAACTTCCAATGGTTTCATCCATTGGAAATTTAAAATGTGATATTACTGCTAATCTTAAATGCATCCCTTCTTTCCAAGGAGATTGACTATAAACTCATTTGTGACAAGGGATTAGATCTTAGTGTTTTTAATCCTCATCACCTTGACCAGTGCTTGCACAAAGTTGACACTGGCACAAACAAAGCATCTGCTAGTTATTTACTGACCAGTCCTAGTGATGAAGATACCAACAGAGCAATCCGTTGTAGTACTGAGCAGCCCAGAACATTTATGGAATTCGTTGTTCTTTCCTGAATGCTTTCTTTACACAGTACAAAAACTATTTTCCCTCTTTATCATTATGAATCTGAATTATTAACATCAGGCTCCCCACAGCTTTCTCCTTTCCACATAAGGAGAAGGTAGAAGAATTCAGTTTTATAGAATTCTAAATACTAAAGCTATACAACTTAGAAGTCAACAATAAAAAATTTAAATAGCATTAGGCTGTTACTGGCACTTTAGCCTCTCCAAATAATTCTTATTAAAATCCTCATGCAAAAACAGAAAAATCACAAAACCATCACAACATCCAAGCCAGAAGCAGGCTACTGCCAGTATCTCGATGGAATTTCTTCAGCTGAAAGGCCACTGAAATCAGACTGAATAAAGCAACTAATGGTCAGAGAAGCAGGAAATGATGGAGATTTGCATGCTTAAAAATAGGTTATTTTATTTTTCATTTTCCTATAGACTGCTTCCACAAGGTCTGCTTTGGGATACTACACTTGTTGATATGACCAGAATACTGTTTTCTGTCTCTATTCATAAGAACCTTGGTTGAACTGGGTTGAATCATAGACCCAATGACCCTCTTCCCACAAATTAAACTAAAATTGAGAGAAAAACATACTTGGAGAGATGCTATGTGGTGAGAGCTAATGTACAAGACTTGTATTTTTTGGAGATAATATCTTAGAGACTGAGGTACCATCTCTGGAACAAGAAGACCTCTTATAGCAGTATATACAACATATAAAACCCTAGTTAAGTCATAGGAATTGAGTTCTGAGCCATGTCTCCATTTTCCTGCTGGATATTTAAACAGAAAATTAGACTATTGCTCAAATGACACAGCATGAATTTGGGGTGAGTTACCATATATTCTGATTTATGCCAGAAATACTGGTATAACTATGAGTTGTACCCTTGTTCACTCTTAAAAGTATCCCAGATGACATATAGAGCAATTGTCTTGATTTCTTGGGAATCAAGAAATCAGTTCCGGATAGTTCTCTCTTCTCATTTAAAAATGGATATATTTGAACAGCCTAGGAATATTTATTACAGAAATAGAGAAAAAATATGTTATTCTTACTTAGAAGAGTATACTTTTGAAAATAATTTGGAATATGCATCAGAGAATTTTTTTCAGAAAATAACATATCACTAATGAAAGATAAGACATGGAATTGTGAGACAGTAGGTAAAAGCCATAAGGAAATGCCAGGTTGATGTACAAAGATAACTGGATAAAACTGAAAGGAATAATTTTAAGGAAACTAATTATAAAAGCAAAATATTGCTTTGGAGCTAGAGAGTAGAACTGACACTTTAGAAAATCAAATCAGTCACGTAGATTCAAATCTATAAAGTTACTTGTAAGAAAAACAAGAAAAAATGATGTTTTAAAAAAGAGTAAGGATGTTGTAAAAGCAGATTTTAAAATGTGATTTGAGAATATACAGTTGACTCTTGAATAATGCAGGTTTGAACTGCATGGGGTCTACTTATGTATTTTCAATAAATATACAGAAAAATATTTGGAGACTTGTGACAATTTGAAAAAACTCCAAGATGAATGACATAGCACAGAAATATCAAAAAATTAAGAAATAGAAATGTCATGAATGCATAAAATATATGTAGACACTTTAATCATTCACTACCATAAAATATACACAAATCTATCATAAAAAGTTAAAATTTATCAAAACTTACTCAAACACAAACAGAAAAAGGTAACATTCACAGTCAAAAGAAATTTAAACAAATATAAAGATGCAGTAATAATAATTGCATAAAATTCATTATAATAATTTGTTTTCCACTTCCTATTGCTGTTGTGCTGAGCTAAAGTGTTGGTAGAATCTGCTTAAAATGCCATGTGAGTGATGCCAATCATTTCTATGTGAGCAATTTCTCTTTCCAGTAAATGGCTTATCTCATAAAAAATGATGGTTGTTGCTGCCCATTTTTTCATTGTGTTTAGTGTAATACCATAAACCTTAAATAACACCATGGAACCCATACAAAGTGTCACTGGTGATACTGGAAGTGCTCCCAAGAAACAGAGAGAAATCATGGCATTAGAAGAAAAAGCTGAATTGCTTGATATATATCATAGACAGAGGTCTGCAGCTGGGTTGCCCATCATTTCAGGATGAGTGAATCAGCACACTGAAAAATAGAATGAAATTCGTGAAGCTCTTGCTGCAGCTATGTCAGCAGACATAAAAATCTTGCACTTTTTGTGAAATAGTTTTTTTGCCCATATTAAAAATACAGTTTTTATGTGAGTGCAGGATTGCTGTAAGAAAGAAATACCTATAGATCTAAAATGATTTTTTACTCTATGTCATTATATGACAACATAGAGCAAAGAGAAGGTGGAGAATCTAAATTTGTAGGATTTAATGCCAGCAAAGGATGGTTTGATAATTTTAGACAGGAGGTTGGCTTTAAAAATGTAAAGATAACAGGAGAAGTAGTTTTGGCCAACGAAGAGGCTGCAAATGAATTCCAGGATGCCATTAAGCATATCATTGAGGAGAAAGAATACCTGTCTGGACACTTTCTTTTAATGTCAATGGAAGTGTTCTATTCTCAGAGAAAATAATGCCACAAAGGTTATTTATTAGTAGGAAAGAAAAGCAAGCACCAGGATTTAAGGCAGAAAGGAATGGCCTAACTCTACTGTTTAGGGCAAATGTATTCACGTTTATGATCACAACTGCCCTTATCTATAAAGCTGCTAACCTTCCAGCCTTGCAAAGAAACATAAACATTAGCTGCCAGTCTCCTGGCTGCACAAGAAGAAGGCCTGGATAATAAGAACCTTTTTTTTCTGGATTGGTTTCACCCATGCTTTGTCCCTGATGTCAGGAAGCATCTTGTCAGTACATGAGTCTGCCTTTTAAAGTTCTTTTGATATTGCGCAATGCTCCTGGCCACTCAGATCTTCATTAATTCAATACCACAGGTGTTGAAGTAGTCTATGTGGCCTTTAAATCGAGGGGTTGTAAGGTACTTTGAGGCTTATTTCACATGGTACTGTATGGAGAGGACTGTCAATGCTGTGGAAGAGAACTCGAACAGAATTCCATGAAAGTCTGGAAGGTTTATACCACTGAAGATGCCATCATTGTTATAGAAGAAGCTGTGAAAGCCCCAAAACAATAAATTCCTGCTGGAGAAAACTGTGTCCAGATGTTAGGCATGACTTCACAGGATTTTCAACAAAGCGAGTGAAGAATATCATGAAAGAGACTGTGGGTAGAGGAAAAAAAGTGGGGGATAAAGTTTTTATGATATGGATCTTGGAGAAATTCAAGAGCAAATAGACACCACCCCACAGGAATTAGCAGATGACATGGAGATGAGTGTTTCTAGGTCAATGCCAGACGATGAGGAAGAAGATGTGCCAGAAAACGATTGACATTAGATAATTTGGCAGAAAGGTTCTGATTATTCAATACCATTTTGGTTTCTTTTCAATGTGGACTGATATGATACTGGCACTGAAACAAAAACAAACAGTGGAAGAAAGATTGAAATAATATAGAAACATTTTTAGAGAAATGAGAGAGCAAGGAGTCAGATCGAAATTACTATGTATTTCCATAAAGTTACACGTGGTGTGCCTGTCTCTCCTGCCTCCCATTTAATCTCCACGTCTTCTGCCTCTGCCACCCCTCACACAGCCAAGACTACCCCCTCATCTTCCTCCCCTTCCTCAGCCTATTCAATATGAGGATGGCAAGGATGGAGCCCTTTATGATAATCCCCTTCCACTTAATGAATAGCAAATGTATTTCTTCTTCCTTATAGTTTTATTGACAACATCTTTTCCTTGGCTTCCTTTATTGTAAGAATACAGTATAATAAACATAACATACAAAATATGTGTTAATCAACTAGTTGTGTCTTTGCTAAGGCTTCTGGTCAATAGCAGGCTATCACTAGTTAAGTTTTTAAGGACACAGAAGTTATTTGTGGAGTTTCAAATGCACAGGGGTGGGGATTGGCACCCCTAACCCTGGTGTTGAAAGATCAATTGTAGTCATAACCAAGGAAAAAATCAGGATAATCAAAAAATAAATTAGCAATAGAAACAAAGATCCCAGGAATCTCCCATGGTCCAACAAACACAGGAGCTTGACCTAGTTTCGCACCATTGCACTCCAGCCTGGGTAACAAGAGCAAAACTCCGTCTCAAAAAAAAAAAAAACTGATATGCAGGAATTAAAATATTCTTTACAAACATAAAGCAGGGTAGGGAAGGAAGAAAAAAAAATGCTTCAGAGGGGTACAGGCCTTTGTGTTGCAAAAAATCTGGT